GTTAGGCCTGCCTGTCCGTTCCTCAGCTCCTGCCCTGACACTGTCCCTGAGTAACAATTCTGTGTCTGTCCCTGAGTAACAATTCTGTGTCCCTCAGTAACAATTCTGTGTCCCTGAGTAACAATTCTGTGTCCCTGAGTAACAATTCTGTGTCCCTCAGTAACGATTCTGTGTCCCTCAGTAACAATTCTGTGTCTGTCCCTGAGTAACAATTCTGTGTCCCTCAGTAACTATTCTGTGTCCCTCAGTAACAATTCTGTGTCCCTCAGTAACGATTCTGTGGCCCTAAGTAACGTTTCTGTGGCCCTAAGTAACGTTTCTGTGGCCCTAAGTAACGATTCTGTGGCCCTAAGTAACGTTTCTGTGGCCCTAAGTAACGTTTCTGTGACCCTAAGTAACGTTTCTGTGGCCATAAGTAACGATTCTGTGGCCCTAAGTAACGATTCTGTGGCCCTAAGTAACGTTTCTGTAGCCCTAAGTAACGTTTCTGTGGCCCTAAGTAACGTTTCTGTGGCCCTAAGTAACGTTTCTGTGTCCCTAACTAACATTTCTTTGTCCCTAAGTAACGTTTCTGTGTCCCTAACTCTCTCCCTCAATACAGCCAGGTCTGCCTCTGTTGAATGACTGGAGGCAAATGGAGAATTCTAAAATGGCCGCCATTTATAGCTCGACCATTACACAGTGCTGGCTGGCTGGCTTCTGATTGGCTAATGCGATCACATGTCATGAATGAATGCATTATGGGTCAGCGCGCCTTGTCTGCGCGCCTTCCCAGACATCCCCGCTCCGTCGCCGCACATGTTGCTGCCATTTTAGGAAAAATTTCGATTCGCGCATCCGAAGTCTGCTAATTTTCGGATTCGTTGCGAATCGAAATTTTCCTAATATTCGAAACGAATTCCACTTCGCCTAGTTCGATTCGCTCATCTCTAGCTGTAACTAATCACAGCACAGCCGAGGCAGTGTGCATGCGCCTTAACCAAAAGAGCTATATCATGTATCAGATATGTGATATAGTGCAGAGAGGTCGCTTTGCACCCGTACATCCTCATGATATGGTCACCAAGTGGATAAGCCACGTTTGCTAAGCCCAGTGTGCATGATTCCTAACACCAAACTGGGAAAAATATGTACTGGGCATATTCTTGTAACTGCAAAATAAAAACAAACCTCAAAGACCACCAGTAGATGGCAGTATCAGTCCATTATTTTATGTCCTATAGAGATTAGGTAGGGACTATCAGTGAGTAGAGACATGTACACACAGGGATGGGTTGGCAGGTACTGGCTCCAGGGTAGGGATATGTTCAGGTCAATCTTGAATTGGACCTGCACACAGCCTCTCCGGGGCTTGGTGACAAAATAATGGCCAGATTTGTCTAGTGCACCCTCCTGAACCCCAACATCCCTGGTTACTTTGTTCACTAACAGTAGCAGTCCCGGGACCTGTCTTTTAGCGGTGGTAAATACCACAGCAGGTGTTTCTAAGCTGTAAGGAACCAACTGAATCTGACTTTAGTCTTCACACACACAGGACATACAAGATGTCACTTTTACAGACATTTGACTTTTCCAGCCTCTGAATGCACCCTCTATGTTATCCTATGTGGCCGTGCACACATCGGTGTTTAAGGGCGTATATGTTTGGAGGCTGCAAAAAAACCCACCACCAGTGTATTCAGGAGAGGATTGGGCAGAGAAAAGCCTGAGGGCCGGTTCACGCTATAGAAATGCAGTCCAGATGCTTTCCAGATGCGTCTCTGCAAGTGTGTTTATGACGTGTTTTTAGTTCATATCGGTGCATTCCTGACACCCGTGTGTGTTTTTGATGCTTTCTGGTTCATTTTTTCCCTCTCTTTTTCTTCAATGTAAATAGGGACATGTGTGTTCCAGTTCCATTTTTGGTGCGTTTCATCCATCTATTTCCTACCAAGAAAAGGTGTGTCAGTAAACATCATAGACACACTTAGGAATCTTTCACATGGTGGGGACCTGTTTAGCGGATCAGATTGGATGTTGACGGGTGTAAACGGACACATGTCTGTTTACACCCACCGCTGTATAGAGGATAATGGAGGTTCCGATCGGGTCCACCTGAAAAATGGGCAGGCAGACCCAATGTTCATGTGAAAGAGCCCTTAAACTCCATGCACACTAGCTTTTTTTTTTTTTTTAAGTTACAAAAAATGCTGGGTAAAAACGTTGGTAATAGCATTTTTTATAGCATTTTAGGCTCCATGCACACTAGCATTTTTTTTTCTGCTCCTAGAAGCTAAATCATGTTATCCTATGTGTCCATGCACACTGCTTTAGGCTGTTAGTGTTTTTTAAGTTTCAGCGTCTAGGAGCAGAAAAAAAATAGTTTTTTGTAGAGTTTTACGGAGCATTTTTACAGCTGAAAAAAATGCTAAATGCTTCTAAAGGCTACTAAATGCTACTAAAACGCTTCTAACAGCTTTTGTCTAGCTTTTTATCTGCATGTACTGTAAAAATGCTAATAAAACTCCAATGCTAAAAATTGCTTTTGTAGAGTTATTTGGAGCATTTTTCCAGCAGAAAATACCCTAAACTTTACTAAACATTGCTAAATGCTTCTAAATGCTACTAAAACTGTACTATAACACTACTAAAAAATGCTATAACCTGAAACGCATGTAGTGTGAACTGGTCCAAAATGTTGTTGAGGAATGTCTTTATATGTGACAGGAAGGAGGTCCCTGGACAGCTCTGGTCCCTCTATTGGGGGGTTGCTGTGACCTCGCTGTATTAAAGTCTTTCATTATCTGCATTCACTGCAGTAATTGTCAGAGTGCTGAATAGAAGAAGATCCAATAAGAAAAAAAATTGCAAAAAATAATATCATGTATACAATTGTGACTCAGATCATATTGTCACTGAATGTGATAAAAACTGACCTTTCCTTTTCAATTTTAACTGCTGTAATTTTCTGTAAAATGCAATATGGTGACCTGGACCCTTTTTGTACACAGATGGTCTACAGAACACCCCCCTGAAAATGTAATTTGCTGCTTGAGTGATTGGCTCACTGATTTTCCCAGAAATCTGCATTAAGATACATTTTTGGCATCCCCTACAACAAAAATATCATTTTTGGTGAGATGCTCCGAAAAAGAAATCACATCAAAAGGGATGCAGACCCTGCCACTTTCCTCATTGGCGTCCTGCAAGTGCAGCAGCTGATTAATAATTATAAAGCCACCCCCATACAGCCACCCCACTAACAGCTATTACTCCAGAATAACAAAAGGTAGGAATCTGCAGCAAAATTTACATAGATCACTGAGAGGGGAAGGGTATCTTCTCACCAAAAGTGGAGTTACTCTTTAAATTTCCCATCATGATTAACAGTTCTCTTGCTAACAATAACAACCCATTTATTACATTTATTACCATGAATGTTCCCGGTGTGACATCTGTGATTGTGTTTCTTTAGAAAAGAGGAAGGAGGTTTTTGTACGGCTCTGTATCACTGTGTGAGAGGGTAATCATAACCCTGCTGACAGAGATATCTTCCTTCATCATCTTCAGTTGCTCCATTAATAGTTAATTTGTATTCAGTTCCAGATCCGGAACCACTGAACCTGTCTGGGATCCCAGATTGCCGAGTGCTGGCATAATAGATAAGAGGCTTTGGAGGTTGTTGGGGCTTCTGTTGGTACCAGTGTAGGTAGCTGTACCTGCTATCAGTTAGGCTTGTACTGGATGTACATGTGATGGTGATTGTCTGTCCCGGGGACACAGAGATAGAATCCGGAGTCTGAGTCATCACAATCTCTCCACAGGATCCTGAGGATGGGAAGAGACATATTGATTATTGATCAATGTCTGGATATCTTCCTATCAATCCTGATGTGTGTATTTATTGTACAATGTATAGAGATGTATGTGCAGAGGAGGATGGAAGGAGCCTCATCTCTCACCCTGAATAGAAATGAAGATGACAGCCAGCAGATAACTGGGAGAAAGCATCTTGATGTTTCTGGAGGGTCAGATCCAAACTAGAAGACGTCTCCTGTACAATGAGATATATAGAGAGAGTGACAGGGGAGGAGTTCCCCCCACACACTGTGTATGCAAATACCGGGGAGATGGAAATGAGAATTCTCAGATCAGTGATCTGTGCTAGAAACACCCCAGTGGGACTCAGCTACATCTGATGACACAAAAACATTATACTCACCTTTGTTCACCGAAACCAGTGGTCTCCAAACTGTGGCCCGAGGGCTGGATGTGGCCCTTTGCTTAATTTTATCCGGCCCTTGGGGCATTATTCTCTCACTGTCTGCAACAGTGGGGCATAGTTCCTGCCACTGACACCAACAATGGAGAACTAATCCTCCTACTGACGCCAATAATGGGGCACTATTCCTACCGCTGATACCAATGATGGGGCACTATTCCTCCCACTGATACCAATGATGGGGCGTGATTCCTCCCATTGATACCAATTAGAGATGAGCGAATTATTCAAAAATTCGATTCGGCTGATTCGCCGAATTCGCGGAATAAATTCGATTCGAGGTGAATATATTCGCTGCGAATTTAACTTATAAAAAGGGTGTTTCTAGGCTTCAGAGAGCCTTTATATTAGTGCAGAACACTGTACCTTTAATTTAAATGCCCTTGGAGTCTGCTGGGGAAGAGAAATAATACTGTCAGTCAGTATGACATGCAGATGAGTGCCGTCGATCTTAGAATCACCGCACACTTCACTCATTTGGCCAGTCACGGGGCCAAAACCAGAGTGTGGAGCCACAGTGTGGCGGTGGAGGCAGCAGCAATGGGAGGCCATACAGCACCCTATGACAAAATGGAACCCACCAGCAGTGTGAGGAGACCTGAAAGTGGCACGTGGCAGAGTGTGGCGATGGAGACAGCAGCAATGGGAGGCCGTACAGGGACCCATGACACACTCTGGACCTGGCAGCAGCATGAGGAGGCGGTACAGGGGCCCATGACAGATTACGGGCCTGGCAGCAGCATGAGGAGTCGGTACGGGGGCCCATGGCAGATTACGGGCCTGGCAGCAGCATGAGGAGGCGGTACAGGGGCCCATGGCAGAGTGGCGGAGCGTAAGCAGCTAAAATTGAAGGCCATACAGAGGCCTCGGTTAAAAAGCGGAAGCCGTCAGCAGCGTGAGCAGACGACAGAGGCACATGGCGCAGGGTGGCGGTGGAGGCAGCAGCAATGGAAGGCCATACAGCACCCTATCACAAAATGGAACCCACCAACAGTGTAAGGAGACCTGAAAGTGGCACATGGCGCAGGGTGGCGGTGGAGGCAGCAGTATTCGGAAGACATACACAGGACTAGTTTAAAAAGCGGAAGCCGTCAGCAGCGTGAGCAGACGACAGAGGCACATGGCGCAGGGTGGCGGTGGAGGCAGCATTATTCGGAAGCCATACACATGCCTAGGTTTAAAACCCAGCAGCGTGAGCAGACGACAAAGACGCACATGGCAGAGGATGGATCTGGCAGCAGTATGAGAAGGCGGTACAGGGGCCCGTGGCACAGTGTGGTGATGGGGGCTACAGCAACTGGATGCCAGAAAGTGGCCGATAGGGCTATATACTGCATGGAATTATAAAGTTGTAAAGACAGTGGCCTATTTGTCCCTAATAACATGTTTGGGGCATGATTCATGGCGGATTTAGTCAGTTGTGTCAGGAACTGGTGGTTTGAAATCCAGACTAATCCACGCCTGATTCATTTTCACAAACGTGAGTCTCTCCACACTTTGGGTGGACAGTCGTGTCCTCCGCGGAGTTACAATACCTCCTGCCGCACTAAACACGCGCTCCGATGCCACGCTACTGGCCGGGCATTAGCATGACAGCCTTTCAAGGGCAAATTCAGCTAGTTGGGGCCAAAGGTCAAGTTTCGTTGCCCAGTAGTCAAGGGGATTGTCTACCTCGGTTGGCAGGGTGCTGTCCAAGTAGGCCCGAGCCTGTTGTTTGAGGTCCTGCTCCAGGTCCACCTGATGCTGCTGCTGCTGCGGCTGGTTAGTAGTTTCCTCACTGCGCTGGTGAAGAAAGCTACTCATCATCGACTGCAGACTGAGGCAGCCGCTGCTGGTGGAGCTGCCACTGCTCCTACCACCCCACCCCTCCCCTGCTGCCATGGCAGCGGAACGCGAGCGCACAGGGCCCACAGTGTCTGAGGATGGACGTTGGCGCAGAAAGGCAGAGACCAACTGACTACATAGGTGGTTTTTATAGTACTTTATTTTGGCCTCCCTCTCAGCAGGTGTGAAAAAGGCCACCATTTTTGAACGGTAGCGAGGGTCCAACAAGGTGGACAGCCAAAAGTCATCCCTCTGTCTGATGGTTATTATTTGGCTGTCGCTACGCAAGCAACCGAGCATGCTATGGGCCATTTGTGCCAAGGAATGCGAGGGACTCCCTGCCTCCATCTCCACAGCATACTGCCACGGTGCGTCTGGGTCCTCTGTCTCCTCCTCTACCAGATGCTCCTGCTCCTCCACTCCTGTCTGCTGAGTGGAAAAACCACCCATTTCACTCAATAATTCCTGAGCACCAATGTCCTCCTTTACCTCCTCCTCTTCTTCCTGTCCTGCCCCCACAGGGGTCATGTGGCGTTGAGATCTGTGCGCCACGTCTACCGCACCCTGACCAGCCATTGTTAACAGCATTTGTTCCAGGACATGCAACAGAGGAATGACGTCGTTCATCCCATATTTCTGCCGACTCACGAATAGCGTGGCCTCCTCAAAGGGCCTGAGCAAGCGGCAGGTGTCACGCATGAGCTGCCAATGGCTGACATCGAAGTTACACAGGGGAGTACCTTTATCCGCTTGTAACATCAGGAAATCGGTGATGGCCTTTCGCTGTTCGTAATGATTCTGTGGCCCTAAAATCTCTGTGCCCTAACTCTGTCCCTAATACACACAGGTCTGTCTCTCTTGAATGACCGGAGGCTAATGGAGAATTCTAAGATGGCCGCGATTTATAGCTCCACCATTACACAGTACTGGCTGGCTGGCTGCTGATTGGCTAATGCGATCACATGTCATGAATGAATGCATTATGGGTCAGCGCGCCTTGTCTGCGCGCCTTCCCAGAGATCCCCGCTCCGTCGCCACACATGTCGCAGCCATTTTTGGGAAAATTCGATTCGTGCATCCGAAGTTTGCTAATTTTCGGATTCGGCGCGAATCGAATATTTCCTAATCTTCTAAACGAATTCCACTGCGTCATGTTCGATTCGCTCAGCTCTAATACCAATGATGGGGCACTATTCCTCCCACTGATACCAATGATGGGGCACTATTTCTCCCGTTGATACCAATGATGGGGCACTATTCCTCCTACTGATACCAATGATGGGGCACTATTCCTCTCATTGATATCAAGAATGTGATACTATTCCTCCCACTGCCACCAGTCATGGGGAATTTTTTACTGCCACTGACACCAGGAATTTTCTACTCCCACTGGCCACAGTTTGGAGACCCCTGACCTAAACTAAAGGGTCTAATTATAGAAAGACAATCAGTGGACAGCTGTGACAAGCATTGGCCCATCCTTGTCAAATTCTGGCCATATTTTTCCTAATACAGTGTTTTTCCTATGATTGTCAGCTCCATCTAGTGGCCATAATGCAGTTTATTTTCTGAAACAATTATGGCCACTAGATCTTAGAGCTTACAGTAATAAGAAGTCACTGTATTAATAAATTATATCTAGAATTCGGCAAGGATGGTCCAATGTTTGTCACATTCATACAACATTTGTTTTAAAAATAGACCCCTAAGTGAGAGGGGAGATGTTACACCTCAGAAGTTGTGTATGAGAATTAGACAGAATTAAATATATGTGAACACCCTGGAATATTAAAAAATGACCGGTCAGTAATGTCATATCCAGTTATTACGTTTATTAAAATTCCATACACAGTCACTTAAAATACACTATAGATTACATGTAAATAACATTATTATTATTCAGGATTTATATAGCGCCAACAGTTTGCATAGCACCTTACAATAGAAAGGGGGACAGTACAATTACAATACATTTCAGTACAGAAGAAGTAGGAGGGCCTTGCTCATGGAGCTTACAATCTAACCTAACCTAGGAATACTCAAACGGGACAAGCGGATGATCTAGCTTCCCACCTCAGAAATACACTAAAACCTTCATATTGGAAGAAACAATCGTCCCCTCCCCCTCTTTAGCAGTATTCTGTCTGGTAGAAACTGACCGCTGAATGGAAATGACCAGGGGGCAAAAATCCAAGAAAAGTCCCATATTGTAACAGAGGAAACAGATCTGTATGGAGAAGTCAGAGCTCTCCATGTCCATGGAAGGGACTGATAGGTCATTCAAATTGCTATACAATCTCATATTCTGCGATGGAAATGTGTGTCGGGTCGTTTTGGTAAATGATGTCACCATATAGAGGAACACCTGTTAGGAAGACATCATAATCAGAGTGTTGTCCTAGTGGTGTATCCCGAGGTGATACATGTCTGCTTTAGTCTGAATAATATTCTGTATATGACCACATTTTTCTGTTCCTGTATTCATTTCTCTGTCTGGTCACAGCCCCGCCCCCTGAGCAGGTCCAGATTTCTATACTCCTAAGTCATTATTATTGCCCCCCCCCCCCCCCCCCCCATGATCACAGATCTTGAAAGCCATTAACTCCTCAGTATAAATAAGTGAAAGTTTCATCTGAAGTATTGATCATTACCTATATTATGTTTCTAAAGAGAGAATATTGAAATCCGAGATATTTCCTCACCACCAAATTTTTGTCTCCCTAATCAATGGTTTCTGTGACTTTCCAAAAACAACGAAAATTTGCCTCACATGGGGCTCTTTCACAGGGGTGGCAGTGCTTATGGTCCTCTGAAAAGTGATCCAGAATGGATTGCTATTCAAAGGATGGTATAGCAGCATAAGTCATTTTCAAAAGAATCCTCTATGTCCAAAAATCCAGTTGTG